AAGTATAACCGAAGGTACAAAACCAAATTATTCATATTAACTCTATGAATTGAATATGGCAGATTCTGTCATTTTACTGACACTAAACAATTGCTTGGGCTCCAAACAGGCCCCTGAAGGGTTGCCCCAGGTTCTTCTCGTCTCTGCCTGCCTGTGACCCTGCAGGCTGCCTTCCCTTCCCTCTGCCTCTTCCCCTCAGACCGTGGGACGGCCACTTGCTGGGAATGTAACCCTTGTAATTGATCTGCTTCTGTTCTTTCTCATTCACTTCAGAAAACTAAAATACAATGATTTGCTCCCAAAGAGATCTAAAGCCCAAGAACTGACATGAGGCTGAATTTGCATAGCAGCTTTTGGTTGAATTGCAACCAATCAAATGATCCGGAATATACTTTTACTAATTGTTTAGCTAATCCTCAGAATAGCATGCCCAAAATGAACAACTTCTACAAAAAAAACAAAAAACCTTCAGCCTGTAAGTCTCTGTGGCCTCCAGTTGAAGCAACACTCAGCTCAAGAACATTTTCTCACTTCAGAGGTCTCGCTTTCCTTCCCCTGCCGTATCAGATGTGCCTGTGGCAGCTAATCCGTTATGTTTTCAAGCAAAATATATACCTCAGGATTTTCATTTCTTTTCTACATTTTTTTCAGGTGGTGACATCACCTGTTTATATTTTTATTAAATTTTGTTCATATTTTAAAAACCTTTTGTACTACCTCAGTGAACATTTATGAACCATTTTCTCAAGGTACAAAATGTCACATAATAAAGACTAAAACTATGTTCCAACATTTTACAGGACCGTAGAATTTCAGAATTGGAACTACCCAGGGTATCAGTCAGGGTTCTCCAGAGAAACAGAACCAGTAGGACATACACAGATACATACAGGAGGAGATTTATTAGGGGAATTGCCTCACATGATTACGGATGCCAAGGAGTCCCACAGTCTGCTGTCTGCAAGCTGGAGAACCAGGGAACCAGTGTTGTAATTCAGTGTGAGTCGGAGGCCCGAGAATCAGGAGAACTGATGTCTGAGGGCAGGAAAGGGTGGCTGTCTGAGCTCCAGAAGAGAAAGAGAATTCGCTCTTCCCTGCCTTTTTCTATTCTTGTCCTCAGTGCCCTCAATAGATTGGACGACACCTGCCCACATTGGTGAGGGCAGATTTTCCTCACTCAGTCTACTGATGCAAATGCTAATCTTTTCCAGAAACACCCTCACAGATACACCTAGAAATATTTTACCAGCTATCTGGGCATCCCTTAGGCCAATCAAGTTGACACATTAAAATTAATTATCACACCCAGTCAAATTCCTCTCTAAAATATCCTGCATAAGTATTCATTTAAAACCTATTGAAAAACCCTCAGTTACTAGCTTATAAATCAATTTATTTCATTTTTCTGTTGGTGTACATCCTAATTTCTAGATCAATGCAAAAATCTAATTTCTCTTGCAAAAGACAATACCTTCACCTGCGTGAAAACACGTTTCGTCATTTCATTCCTCAGCCCACCCTTCCCCAGACAAACCCTCTCGTACATCTGGCCGTTCTTATCTCACAATGCTGAGCAATATAAGAAATGGCTCCATAATTTTTTGATATGTTCTGCATACAATCCAATTTCCTTAATAGAAACATCAGCAGATTATGTAATCCATGGGTCTTATCTCAAAGAAACAGGTTTTTATATCAATTTTCTTTCTGGAGTGAATACTATAAATGACTACAACCTAATACTGTGGAATAATTCCACTGAAAAGACAGGGATGAAACACATTTTAAATAGTACTGAGCATGCACTGGCCTAAATTTATGCGCGCGCACACACACACACACACACACACACACACAGTTGGCCCTTGAACAGTGTGGGGATTGGAGGCACTGACACCCTGCACAGTTGAAAATCCACATATAACTTTTGACTCTCCCAAAACTTAACAACTACTAATAGCCCGCTGTTGACTGGAAGTCTTACTGATAACATTAACAGTTAATTAACACATATTTTGTGTGTTATATGTATTATATACACTGCATTCTTACAATAAAGTAAGCTAGACAAAAGAAAATGTTAAGAAAATCATAAGAAAGAGAAAATATATTTACTATCCATTAAGTGGAAGCAGATTATCATAAAGGTCTTCATCCTCATCTTCACATTGAGTAGGCCGAGGAGGAAGAGGAAGAAGAGGGTTGGTCTTGCTGTCTCAGCAGTGGCAGAGGTGGAAGAAAACTTGGATATAAGTGGACTATGCAATTCAAACCCATGTTGCTCAAGGGTCAACTGTGTATATATATGTATAAAATATATTTTATATATAAATTATTATATTTTATATTGTTATTATATATAAATATATACTGATATACATTTTGGCCAATATTTATATAAATTATATATAAAATTTATTTGTTTGCTTATTTCATTTTACTACTGAAAAAAGAAAACGTGAAGGCCTGAAGAGGCTCTGATTGAGTAGGCCTGGAAAGTGTGGGCACCAGGGCTGCCACAGCCCTCTCTCCTGCCCTGTAAAGCATGATTTCCAAACTCAAATTCAGACTGTATGGGTTTTGACACAGCCTCTTGGTGAAACCAAGCAAGGTCCTAAACTACAGCCGAATCCTATGAAGACAAGACATACAGCTGCCCCATCTCCATTCTTAACTGTGGATGAGCAGGACCCTGGGCTGGAGGGTGCGGAAACAGGACATGATAAATAACTAGGAGCCTGTGGTCACAACTCTCCCACTCTGGCCTCACAAAATCTTGGCTCTACATTAGGAACAGGTGACATGCTGGGCATGTCTCTAAGGACAGAACCTGTGTGATATTGAGGCCCTGCAAGGGCCAGATCCTAATCAAGAGGAGAAAAGGCCTGACCAGAGTCACATGAGAAGTGACAGCTGGAGGCCAGGCAGTGGCCACAGCTCCTTGGACAGCTTGACTTTTTGGTGGTTGGTTAGACATGTGTTTTTCAGGTACACATGTGTGTCCTCTCAAACGACAACATTGGTGCTTGATAGTCACAGCTGTGTGTAAGAACATATTACCATACGGAATGAGAATGACATTTTTGTGATTAATTCTTCTTCCTAACAGCTGGCTGTCCCAACTCCTTGATTAAAGAGCTCCATCACTTCAGGATTCTGGGAGAAGAGCAGGTGAGTTAGCATCTCAAAGGCTGCGTCAGACTGTCATGAAACGTAGACGTTAATGAGACAGTTTGGGCTATCTCCAGGGAGGCTGAGTGAGTCTCCTGACCCTCGGCGCCCTGAAATGGGGAAGAAAACCACACTGGAGATATGTGTGAGGACACTTTTTTCCTCTTCTATCCATCAGACCTGACAGGTTATTAATTGGTACATCTGCTATCTGCCAGTGTGTTTCATCTCAGGACTTGAGCAGTAAGCAGGTACTGCATAGTGGCAGATGAGCAAACAAATAAACGCAGAGATGAATTATGCCTGAGGGATTGATAGTCACAGGCACTCCCGATTTGCTCTCCGTGGGTGGATGTGCAAGCTCTTTTCTGCAGATTTTTGCACCTTGTATGTTATCTATACTTCATGGCAGATACTTTCTGTATGGATGTGGACATGTGACTTATAAACAAAGGATGGCCCATTTAAAGTCAATTATTTAAATGCTAAGTTGTGCTCAGTGAGGCATGATATACTTTAAATAGATGTGCTAGTAAATAATTCAGGGTACTAAATATTATATATACATGTACACATACATATACTTTTGAGTGCTTAAAAATATATCTCTTGAGCCTCGTATGGAATCAGAGACTCTGGGTTAGGATATTAAATCTAGATGGCAAATTATCTTAAAATAATTACACTAAGTAGTTGGCAACTTGCTGTTGACCTAACTTATACTCTGTTGTTGATTTTTACTCCCAAAGATTGCCTTTGCCAGCTCAGACCAGACACAACATGCAAATGGAGATGTGGTGACTCCATTTTGCCAATGAGTTTGGGGTCTGTGTGTTTTTTTCTTTGATGTGTGTATGGCAAATTGCAACTGCCAGTTTCCAACATGAGATTAAAACAGAAAGGTGTTAACTAGGAGAGGATAAGAAACTGGAATCATTTCCGCATCCTTGAATTAGCATGTTACAATATGCTTTCTTCAGTTGTTCATATTGTGAGTTTCCAGAATAGTGGGCTTAAATTGCAGGTAAAAGTCGATACCTGACTCTCCCAAACATACCTGTATCTCACAGCCATTCTCCAGTGAAAGCCTGAAAGACTCCTGAAAGCAAGAATCGCTGATTGTTACCCTGACATTTCTGCTCAGATAATGGAGCCTTCTCTTCTAACTTGAACCAATATTTGCAAATTGTTTCCATATTTGCTTTAGAGTCACTATGTAATTAGTAGGGAAAGAAACCAACAGTAATCATCTCCTTAGATTTGCATAAAAGTCAGGCCACTTTTTATACTCCTGCAAATTTAATCAGGCTATAATCAAAATTAATATTACCCTGATTAGTTATGGCAATACAGTGTAATATTGATCTTGATTTCTTGAAGTTTCCTTCTTTTCTTCCTTCCTTTTTTCCTTTCATTCAGCAGGTAGTTACTGAGCACCTCGTATGTGCTGTACACCATCTAGGTTACAGGGATAGAGAGGTAAAAAAGAAATCTCCATCAGGCTCATTTTTAGTTGAGGAAAGCTATTTTGTATACACATAGCACCTTCAGTATATATAATGCTAGATGGTTATCATTGCTATGGAGAATAATAAAAGCAAAAAGAGTGACAGTGAATGCTGGGGAAAGAGGTGAGATTTTACATAAGATGGTCAGTGAACGTCTGGACGTCTCACAGAGCAGGTCATGCGTGAACAAAGACCGGATGGTCTCCAGGGAGGCATCATGGTGACATCTGGGAAAGGAGACTCCAGAAAGAGGACAAAGCAAGCACAGAAGCCCTGAAGTGACCATGTGTCTGGCCCCTTCAAAGTAGTCCAGAGGCCAGCGTGACTGGGGCAGGGTATGGGGGTGCCGAGGAGGACAAAGAGGGACCAGACTGCATAAGGCAGGGCCAGAGTAAGGCAGGAAGAAATCTGGGCAAGCGTTCTGAACTGGAAGCCCAAGGAGGAAAGCGTTTCTAGGAGGAGGAGTGATCACCACGTCCTACGCTCGGCATGTAGGATGAGGATGCGAAATGAGCACAAGGTTTCACAACCTGGAGGTCTTTGCTGACCTTGGCCGTGGATGGTGACCTTGGCCTGCTGGAATGGCTTCACGTGAGAGGGGAGCAGAGGAGTAGGAGACTGCAGATATAGATGACTTTTTCATGGTTTCTGAGGAACTTAGCTGTAAAGGAAAATAAAGAAATGAGGGAGCTGTGGGAAGATCAAGACAATTTTCGTTTTAAGGGAAAATTGCAGCGTGTCCAGGTACTGATGGTAATGACTCAGTAGAGGAGTCAGGAGATGGATGATGCAGAAGAGAGAGGGAAGAATTCAGGAGCAACGTCTTGGATGTGGTCTTGGCCTTGGACAAGAGAGTGGGCAGCTCAGCCTGGCAGTGGGCAAGAAGGCGGATTGTGTCAGCCCAGGTGCGAGCATCGGATTTGGCAGTGAACCTTCCCAGACACTCTGCTGGTTGTCTCCCTTTGCTCAGTGGAACAGGAAGGCAGCTCATCAGCTGAGAGTGAAGATGGGAAAGAGTTTTACAGGGAAAGGAAAAGATACTGAAAGTGTCGTTTAGGAGGGTAGGGAGGGAATAAGCCTGGGGGATGGATGAACTTGGAGTGAGATCAACAAGCCTGTGTGTTTTCCAATCACACTTGACTGTGCAGGCACAGACGCAGAAAGTCAGGGTGTCAGATTAACTGGCATTGAGGTTTTGCCATCTAAGTGTGACAAAAATAAGAGAGAGGCCAGGTGCGGTGACTCACGCCTGTAATCCTAGCACTCTGGGAGGCCAAGGCAGGAGGATTGCTTGAGGTCAAGAGTTCAAGACCAGCCTGAACAAGAGTGAGGCCTCGTGTTTCTACAAAAAATAGAAAACTTAGCTGAGCATGGTGGTGTCTGCCTGTGGTCCCAGCTACACAGGAGGCTGAGGCACGAGCATCACTTGAGCCCAGGAGTTTGAGATTGCTGTGAGCTATGATGATGCCACTGTACTCTAGCCAAGGTGGCTGAGCGAGAGTCTTGTATCAAAAACAAAACAAACAAACAAACAAAAACAAGAGAGAACCAAAGCAGGTGAGGATGGACCCTAGGGAGTGATTGTAATGACCAGCAATGAAATTTCAGCTGGGTAAGCAGAGATGTGAGTTGAGAGAGGCACAGGGAAAACTGGTTGGAGCAGTTGGTTACACACCCCACTGGGCTAAAAGAATTTTGGGAGTTTAGTTATTAGGATTTAGCTGAAAAAACAGATGTTGGCCAAAAAATGAAATACTTCAAATTGAGGTCATTGAGGAGATGCATGATCAGCAACAGCAAGGTCAAGGGGAGGTCCAGGAATGCCAAGTGTCTGAGTGAGGGTGGAGGACAAGATGACTGGAGGTGTAGAGGTCACGTGAGAAGTCAGGGCGTTGGGAAGATCACCATGTGCACACTGAGATCTTCAAGAATTGTCACCAGAGCCAACTTGGAGAAAGTTATGTTGAGCTAGGGACTGAAGATTTGAAGGGGGTGGGAAGAGAGAGGGACAGCGATCAGTAGCTTACTGCAAAAGGAGAAATAGAGCACAGTGTGGCATAGCCTAATTGTCTGCAATTGAAAGCTGGAGGGTTTTAGAAGGAAAAAGGAAAAATATTCCACTGGGGATACTGCAGAGCAATGCTTGATGGTACAGGGGCCCCGTAGCTAGAATATTTGAGGAAGCTTCAGGGAAATAGTGTCCTCAGGTACAAGGCAGTGTCACAGAAGAATGCAAGGAACACACTGAGAAAGTAGATCGCAGTACAGGGCAGTTATTGCTGACTGCCTGTGAGTTCCCCAAGCACGGGGAGGGGCTGCAAGAGTTGGGGCAGCTGAAAGATATTGGAGGGGTGGATGGAAGAGCTGGATATGAGGGCTGGGGGTCAGCCCAGAGAGATGGCGGGTGAGTCAGGCATTCTTTGGTGACTGATATAAACAGGACCTATCAGTCAGGGTATTTATACCCTGATGATGCATAACAAGATCCAGTGGTCCCAAGGCAGGTGGTGGCAGGAGGCTCCAGAGTGGAGGCAGAGAGTTCCAGCCCCCTCCACCCCTCCCAGTGGGGGCAGCAGCCTCACCAGAAGCTGGTGAAACTCTCAGGATCTCACTGGATGCTTGAGGCAACTTCTATTATGTGATGAAATAAAATTTGTATATTAATGTATGCTACAAGTATCCTTGGACACATCATTTTTGTCTGTCCAACTTGGCTTTTCCTAGAAAAGGGGAGTGATGCTCTGCCATCTCTTAGAAACTGTGTAAATAAATAGAATGCAAAGTAAGTTGCAAATATTAAGTGTTGCACTAAAACATTTCTGATTTTAAATAGTGTTTATACTCCATCAATACATTGGACTAGTGGTAACAAAGTAGACACTAAAATAAATGTAACATTCACTTAGAAGGTGAATTTTTGATACAACCTACACAAATACGAATTAATTACTGAGTTCATCCCTAGATGACAGAGATGCATACCAGCTATCTAATTCCTCTGTATGTAAGTCCTTTCTGTTTTCATTGATCTTTAATAAGCATCGTGATTTTTGAGATTTGTATTAAAAATCATTAAACACTATAAACTATTACTTTCCTGAAATAAAAATAAAGTTAAAACTCCTTGGAATTTAAAATAATACATTTATTTTAGCGTTTTGGCCCCTCCTTTGATTTGTGTTGATGATTCATATTCATAAACTACCTTTCAACAGCCACCCCGAAGTCCAAACTATTTGGCAAAGATATTATTACATCACAGGAAAGTAAAGTTACTCTAAAGTTCTATGCGAGCCCTAAAGAAATCAGGTGTGATATCTGGAATCCCTAAGGATTGGAGAGCTTTTGGAACATCTGCATTTCAGAAGTACCTCCACTTACAACAGCTTTCTCCACCTTAGGTTTAATAATAACAATTTTAAGGAAATAACCTTCATTCAATCAATAAAAATATATTGAATACCTTTTTATACTATTATCATGGTAGTATTG